TCCAGAGCTGCCTCTTGGGCAATACCCTACCTGGGGGGTATCCTCTAGGAAGAGGACCGTGAGAGGCAAAAGCCTGGTTTCTTTCTGCAATCTCACTTAGGGGAACCCAGGTGAATCCATAGCTCAGGCAGAGCTCACTTGGTAAGGTGAAAGCCATCTGCACAGCAAAACACTTCAAGAGATGACACGTCTGAGTCCAATCGTGAAGCAACGAATAGAGGAAGCTTGGCCTTAACCTCAGTCCCCAGGAGCGGGACCGTAAATGGTGGGGGGGGGGGGTATAGGAGAGGTCGGGATGAGTTGCGTGGTCTTAACAGGGCTACGGGGGGAGAAAGCCCAGCCCGTGCCGGCAAAGTTAAACCCTCTGGGGGTTCACAGAGGGGCTACAGGCAGTGGGGTGCTGCCGGTGATTGGTTCCAGCTTGCAAGAGCCAACTCTGAAGGTTTCAGAATATCTGTGAGCTGGTTGCTGAATCATCGGTGGCTCGAAACCAGCCGGGGTGGGGGTATTGACACCACAGACATTGGAAAGTGAGACACGCCAAGACCTTTTTCTGCCCCCTCCCCCCTCAAGAGAGCTGGTTTGACCCAACACCGACTGGCTTTTCTGGGGTTCATCAACCTCCAAAAATAGTGTGCACGGCTCTGCGTTCATAGTCCTTTTCGTTTGTGTGTTCACTCGTTACTCAAGTGCTGGAGTCCTGCCATGTGCCAGGCATCGCGTTAAGTGCTCCGTGTGTCGGAGCAGATTCAAGAGACCTGGCTTTTTCTTTGTGTAGCTAACAGTCTAGCTGGGGTCAACGGTTAACAATTGAAGAATCCACACAGATCTGGGCTCCTTCCTTGAGGAAGGGACTGTTGAGCTCAGATCCCAAGAAAGAGTAGGAAATGCGGTGTGAAGAGAGGAAGGACATTCCAGATAGAGAAGGGCATGTGCAAAGGCCCTGGGGTTGGAGGAGCCTGGTGAGTTGGAGGGACTCTCCAAAGTTTAAAGTGATGGGTGCGCAGAGATATAGTGCACAAGACCACGAGGGAGAGCTGCAGGTATATGCAAGGGTTGGCCTGGCAGGTCCTTGTAGGCCAGGGCTTTGTGACATTTTGTGTGTGGGGCGGGGGGCGGGGGGGGGGG